CGGGGACGGGCTTATCACTGTTCCCTATTCGTATACACCCCCTCCCCCGGGCGACTGGGAACCAACCCAGGTCCATGAGGGCCCCCCCCACCATCCCTGGTAAAACAAAAACAATGCAAAACACACTCTGCCCCCAACCATCCCTTGTAAAACAATATCTTGGCGAAGGACCCAACCATATGAAGTTGTGGGCACCGCAATTGTGAACCTCTTCTTCGGCTAAGCTCCCAATGGGGTCACGAAGCGCTGCGCTGGGCGGGGAGGGGAACGCATGCGGGCGGTCCCACTGGGGGTTTCGGTGGAGCTCCCTATGGGGCCACGAAGCGCTGCACTGGGTTTGTGAAAATACCACCTTCGGCGTGGGGGACGCATGAGGGGGGTCCCACTGGGGGCTACGGTGGAGCTCCCCATGGGGCCGCGAGGCGTTGTAAAGGGTGTGCGAAAATGCCAAATTTGGTGTGGAAGACGCATGCGGACTGCGCGACGGGGACCTTCGGTGGGGCTCCCCGTCGGGCCACGAAGCGTTGTACTGGGTCGGTGAGGATGCCAAATTTGGTGTGGGGGGCGCATGGGGGGCGGTCCCACTGTAGGATTCGGTGGAGCTCCCTCTGGGGCCACGAAGCGCTGTACTGGGTGGGTGACGCCGAATCGGGTGCGGGGGACGCATGCGGACGGTCCCACTGGGGGCTTCGGTGGGGCTCCCTATGGGGCCACGAAGCGCTGTACTGGGTGGGTGAAAATGCCAAATTGGGTGTGGGGGGCGCATGCGGGCGGTCCCATTGGGGGCTTCGGTGGAGCTCCCTATGGGGCCACGAAGCGCTGTATTGGGTTGGAAAATGCCAAATTGGATGTGGGGGGGCGCATGCCGGCGGTACCACTGGGTGCATCGGTGGAATTCCCTATGGGGTCACGAAGCGGTGTACCGGGTGGGTGAAAATACTAAAATGGGCGTGGGGGGCGCATGCGGGCGGTCCCACTGGGGGCTTCGGTGGAGCTCCCTATGGGGCCACGAAGCGCTGTATTGGGTTGGAAAATGCCAAATCGGGTGTGGGGGTCGCATGCGGGCGGTCCCATTGGGGGCTTCGGTGGAGCTCCCTATGGGGCCACGAAGCGCTGTGCTGGGTGGGTGAAACGCAGGGAAGAAGGAGGAGGGAGGGGAGGAGGGGGAGGAGGAGGAGAAGAGGAAAGGAACGCGGGGACCGTCTCTTCAAAACGAGGACCCAACACCACAGGATGCTTGGGAACAAAACAAAACGCACGCTGTCTCCAAATTCGGAGCACGCGCAGCGAACCCGATGCGGCCTCCCCCCACCATCCCTGTCAAACAATTGGCCTGACGAAGGACCCAACCATATGCAGGTGTGACTACCGCAATTGTGATTCACTTTTTCGGTGGTGACCCGTATGGGGCAACGAACTGTGCTGGGGGTGTGCCGAAATGAGTGGCGGGAACACAATGCGAACGACAACGATTGATCTGAGTACGTAGGGGGACTGAGCGCGGGTGGATCTGAGCGCGAGTGCGTCTGACTGTGAATGAATCTGCGTGCGAACGAGGCTGCGTGCATGAATGCGAGTATGACAAAGCATGGTGTGCCTGTATATGAATGTCAATCGTTTGAGAATGACTGCCTCTGAGTACTCGTGGCGCTGGGCATGACCGCCGCAAAGAGCTTCCCCGGTACTCTCCGACGGCATCGCCCGGGCGCCGCGACGCCAATGTCGGCGCGCCCCCCCGCGAGGATCGCGCCCGCTTCCTCCCCTTCTTTTACCCCACCTTTGCCCGCGCACTCAAAAGTCCAAGGCCGCGGGCGCAGCGCGGCGCGGACTCCCCGCGACGCGCGCAGGTCGCCCCGGAGGGGTCCCAGCGACGCGCGCGGGTCGTCCGCTGCGCGGAGCAAAGAGAGCTCGCTGGCTGGCTGATAGCGGGCAAGGCTCTTGCCGCTGGGCAGAGCGACGACGGGCGAGCGAGGCGCGAAACTCCGACGGCCTCCGACGGAGCTGTACTGGGTGGGGGAGACGCATGCGGACTGCGCCACGTGGAACTTCGGTTGAGCTCCCTATGGGGCCACGAAGCGCTGTACTGGGTGGGGGGACCGCATGCGGACTGCGCGACGGGGACCTTCGGTGGAGCTCCCTATGGGGCCACGAAGCGCTGTGCTGGGTGAGGGAGACGCATGCGGACTGCGCCACGGGGACCTTCGGTGGGGCTCCCTATGGGCCCACGAAGCGCTGTACTGGGTGAGGGAAGCGCATGCGGACTGCGCCACGGGGACCTTCGGCGGAACCCCTATGGGGCCACGAAGCGCTGCACTGGGCGGGGGAGACGCATGCGGACTGCACCACGGGGACCTTCGGTGGCGCTCCCTATGAGGCCACCAAACGATGTACTGGGTGAGGGAGACGCATGCGGACTGCGCCACGGGGACCTTCGGTGGAGCCCCTATGGGGCCACGAAGCGCTGTACTGGGTGGGGGAGACGCATGCGGACTGCGCGACGGGGACCTTCGGTGGAGCTCCCTATGGGGCCACGAAGCGCTGTACTGGGGGGTGATGATGCTGATGTTGATGTTGATGTTGGTGTTGATGTTGATGTTGATGATGTTGATGTTGTTGTTGATGATGATGATGATGATGGTTATGATGATGATGATGATGATGATGATGATCACGATGACGACGATGACGATGACGAAGACGATGCTGCTGCTGCTGCTGATGATGATGATGAGAAGGAGGAGGAGGGGAGGAGGGAGGAGGAGGAGACGCGGGGACCGTCTCAAACGAGGACCCAACAACACAGGTTGGTTGGGAACAAAACAGAGTACACTTGGCGGCGGCGGCGGCTGCGGCGGGGGCAGCGGCTGCGGCGGCTGCGGCGGTGGCGGCGGCGGAGGCGGCGGCGGCGGCGGGGGCGGCGGCGGCGCCGGCGGCGGCGGTTTCGGTGGCGGCAGCGACTGCGGCGGCAGCGGCTGCGGCGATTTGGCAGCGGGGGCGGCGGCGGCGGCGGCGGCGGGCGGCAGCGCGGCGGCGGCGGCAGCGGCGGACAGCGGCGGCGGCGGCGGCGCGGCGCCGGCGGCGGCGCCGGGCGGCGGCGGCGGCGGAGGCGGCGGCGGCGGCGGATTGGCACCCAGTAGCGGGCCATCCACGACGGCTGCTGCACATGCTGCGGCTCGGGCCAGGCTCGGGTGCTACGCATGTGTTGGGAGGGCGGGTGGGAGGGAGGGTGACGGCTTGCGGGCGGGGAGGGCGTCTTGACCCCTTCCCCTACCCCCTACCCGTGGGTCTGGACGGGGCTTTTCGCGAGGCGTTGGGGCGTTCAAGATGCTCTCGGCGAGAATGCCCAAATCATTGATTTGACTAGGGTTCGGGCAATATTTTCGCTTCCTGGGGGAGCAGAACTAATTAAGGAACTCCCCGTCTTTCGATCGATCTCATCCAAGATGGCCCAAGATGCCCTCTGCGGCTCCCAAGGGTGCCCCAAGACAGCCCCAAGAGGCGCCCAGGAGGCCCCAAAAGGTCCCCCAAGAGGCCTCCCAAGATGCCCCCAAGAGGCTCCCAAAAGGCTCTGAGGAGACCCCTAAGAGGCCCCCCGAGGCCCCCAGGATGCCCCAAGAGGCCTCGGCGAGAAGGCCCAGTATCAGGGATTTGAACAAGGTGTTGGCCACGTGTTGGCCTCTGGGGGAAGGGACTCTGATCAAGGAGCTCCTCTCTTTGATCGATCACGTCCAAGATGGCCCCAGAGGCCCCCAAGGGTGCCCCAAGGCGGTCCCAAGAGGCGCCCAGGAGGCCTCAAGAGGCCCCCAAGAGGCCCCCCAGATGCCCCCAATAGGCTCCAAAGAGACTCCCAAGAGGCCCCCCAGAGGCAGCCAAGACGCCCAAGGAGGCCTCCGCGGGAAAGCCAACACCAGTAATTTTATTCAGACTTTGGCCACATGTGCCCAAATTGCAACTTCCCCTTTCTTTGATCGATCACCTCTCCAAGATGGCCCCCGAGGCTCCCAAGGGTGCCCCAAGACAGCCCCATGAGGTCCCCAAGATACCCCCAAGAGGCTCCCAAGAGGCCCCAAGAGGCCCCCCAGAGGCACCCAAGACGCCCCACGAGGCCCCCCCGACCACCTCCAGACGCCCCAAGGGGACTCTCCAAATAGCTTTCAAAAGACATCCGAAGAGATTCCGAGAGATATTTAAGAGGCTTCTGGCCTTCATGCTCGTCCTCCTACTCCTTCTTCTCCTCCACCTCCTTCTCCTCCTCCTCCTCTCCTCCTCCTCCTCCTCCTCCTCCTCCTCCTCCTCCTTTTCCTCATCCGCCCATTCCTCCTTCCTCCTCCCTCCTCCCCCTCCTCCTCTCCCTACTCCTCCCCCTCCTTGTCCTGCTCCAGAATAGACAAGCGCGTTCCCCATACTCGTAAAATGCGAGCTCGCAAATGGCCTGGATCCGCCGCGGGGGGGGGGGGGGGTACGACTTAGTACAAAGAGACAAACCGTTGTTTTTTGTTCTGACGTTTGCGAGTAGGCACTTTGAGAGTAGTGAAACGCAGTTGGTGATCGAAGGTGGAGAGCCCAAGCACCAAGAACAGAAGGGTACCCCTCCAAACCCAGGGTTGTTCTAAACCCGGTGGCAGCTGCAGCTTCACGCACGACAGCTCATGCCACCGCCTCTACCTCAAGCGTCTCCTCCTCCTCCTCCTCCTCCTCCTCCTCCTCCTCCGTCCACCTCGATCCTCCATCCGCCTCCCTCCTCTCCTCCATCATGGTGCTCCTGCTCATGCTACTCCCTACCAACTCACCGCCAATTCTGCATCCTCCCATCCACCCCTCCGTCCTGTATCCTCCTCCTCCTCCTCCTCCTCCTCCTCCTCCTCCAGCCCCTCCGGGCTCCTCCGTCTCCTCTCCCGTCAACACTGCATCACTCGTCCTTCCTCCTCGCTCCCACCTCGAGTATTATCCTCGTTCTCCTGCGGAGGAGGCGGAGGACGAGGCAGAAGAGCTGCGCTCGCCGATGGCCGATGCGCAGGATCATCGGCCGTTGCGCCAAGCCGCGCAACCACGCGCGAGTCTAGCTCCTCCCGCGCTCCCTCCCCAGGCATCTGGCGGCTCGATGTTTTCGGACGAGGCCTGGCCGACTCTGACAACCCTGGATTCAAACACGTTGGCGTCCTGTTTTTCCTCCCACAGCCTTCCGCCGGCCTTCTGCTGGCGGAGCCGCCGCCGTTTTACTTCTGCCTGCACTCTGCCGAGGAAGAGATGCCAACATCTCGATCACTCGAAGGCGAGGCCGGGCCCCCCAAACCTCTCGACCCTCCCCCCCGGCCAACCTTGTCATCCTGAGCCGTGTGGTCGAACAGTTCGGCGGCCGAAGCCGGCCTTCGGAGGCCCCCCAACGGCGCTGGCGCGAATCGTGACGTGACCGGCCCCCTCCCCCCCGGTCACGCCCGTTGCCGCCAACGAATCAAACATGCTCTCTAGACCTCGGGCTCGATGGCAAGTCATGGGAGCCTCCCATACCGTCTTGTTGGCTTTTGCGAATCGACGCAAATCGACGCTACATCGACGCCAATCGTTGCTCATCGACGCTATCTCATCGATTGCCAGACGCTAGCCGGCGCCAGGGGACTCTGAAGACGAGTGACGAGGGTATACTCAACAGCTCCCGTGACCTGCTACGGAACGAGCCCAAGACCGCAGGCCCTCTGGGAGCTTGAGCCCCCCCGCGAGCCCGCCCGTTAGCATGGGGGAAACGGGCCCTGGACCCGGGGGCCTCTCCCCAATGCGAGATCTTCGCCCCGGGCCCGTGGAGGGCCCCGAGAACCCCAAGACGGTGAAACAACTCGGGAGGCGCTCCCCGCAGGACTTGCTTCCCCCCGTGGCGAGCCCCGCGAGCCCGCCCGTCCAGGCGCCCGGGCTCTGGCCGGCCGCCGCGCCCACGCCGCGCAGGAGGCGGGCCGCTGCCCCCCTCTCGAGCTCTTCCCGCGGGGGGGAGAAAAGGGGTGGGCGTGCACGTCCCGACTCCTCTGGCGACCCGGGCCTCCCGACCTCCCCGCTGGCCTTCCCTTCGATCCTCGGCGGCCCCGATGCGCCCCGTGCGCACCACGCCGCGCGGCGCGCATCGGGGCCCGACGCGCCGGCCGAGCACGTGGGCCGGGCGCGCGTGGACCCAGGAACGCTCCGAGCCAGCACGCGGCGTGTCGACGCGGACGCCTCTGGCCTCTGCCCCTCCCTGGGCCGGCACTCCGCGGGCGCGATGGGCGCTCCTGGGGCGCCCAGCGGCCCCGGCCCCGGCCACGGCCGAGCACGGCCGCCCCTGCACCTTCGCCAGCGTCGATTCGTGGCGCCCCCGCGCGAGTCGGCGACGGCTGGCACGCGCGGGCCAAGCTTGTGCCCAGGCGGCCAGGCCGTGCAAGGAGGATGCGCCGCAGGGATGCAAGGGCCTTGGGGCGCCCATGCCGAGGCTCTTCGAGCGGGGCTGGCCATCGAAAGTGGTTTGAGGATGGACCGATGCTGACCGAAGAGGCAAGGATGCAAGGGCAGCCTCAAGATATCGCTCATCCTTACGACGAGGGTTGACTGCATCCATTGCAGTTTGGAATTCCTGGCTCTCTTCGCCGAAGCCCGCGGCGCATTGGATATGGATAAAAAGCTGGCCCCTAGAAGCTCGATTTCGATCCATATCCAGTGCGCCTCGGCCTTGCGGCGCCCCTTCCAAGATAGTGCAAGGCGCACTGGATATGGATACAAATCTTGCCCGTGTGTACCGAAGACCAAAGTCAGTGCCGACGAGAGCCCGCGAGAGCTTGGTCATGGCCAGCGCGCTTCTTCCCTCGACCCCCGACCCCAAGAAGCGGCATCGGCAGCGAGTCCACCTCGGAGCTCCACCCCTCGGAGCCTCTCCCCGGGCAGGCTGGGGGCCATCGGGCACCTCTCGGCGATGCATGGGCGATGGGGCATCGATGCGCCCTAAGCCTGAGCTCACGGCCAGAACCCTGTGCTGAGCGTGCCGCGGCGGCGGCCCCGGCGACACGCTATACACCCTGCGAGCGGGTGGCGCGCCGATCCGCTCCGTGGGGCGGGAGGCTGGAGGAGGCTCGAGACGTCGACGCCAGGGGGCCGGCCCGCGGGTGCCGCGACGGAGCGCGGTAGGCCGGAGCCGACGGCGCGAGACGCTGAGCCCGAACCCCCCGCCATACATCCCCCCTGACGTTGCCCCAGGAGGTAGGGCGACGAGATCTATACATATCCACTGCTCCTGGCCAGGCCCATCCTGGGCCCAGGAGCTGTGTATATGCCTCCCTGGCCAGGCCAGGAGGGCGTATACACCGCTCCTGGGCCCAGGATTGGCCTGGCCAGGAGCAGTGGATATGCATAGATCTCGTCGCCCCAGGAGGGAGCGAGGCCGCAGCGGGCACGCGGGGCCGCCCAGCAGCCCTTCAGGCGGCCAGCGGCCGACGCCCCCGGCGCCGAGGGCGTGCGCTCGCTCTGCTCGCCGCGCGCCCTCGGCCTCGCCTTCGCCGGCCGCCGGCGACGAAGACGCCGTACGCCGGCGACTCCGACGTCCACGCCGACGCCGACAGCGACGACGCCCGCGGCGGCGGCGCCGACGACGACGCCGACGGTGACAACGCCAGCGGCGGCGACGACGACGCCGAGCGCCGACACCGACGCTGACGGCGGCGGCGGCCTCTCCGAGAGACTGGCTGCCATCTGGGGGGTGGACAGAACAAGGGCTCGTTTTTGCTGCCCTTCTTCCGTCTTCCTTCCCAATCTCATCTGCCTCCCCCTTGTCCTCCTCCTCTTCCTCGCCTCCTATGCTCGGGGGCGGACATCAGGGGATCGTTCAAGAGGGAGGTTCGCAAATCATGGCCCGAGGCATGTGTGCGAACGAGGCGGAGATCAAGGGACTTATTTGAGAAAGAAGGTGGCCATGAGAACTGGGGAGATATCATGGCCCCAACCATGATTCGGGCGTTGGCAGAACTGGGTTTAGTGGAACCTGGTTTAGTGATGTGTACTGGGGGACGCCCCCCCGCCCCGTTCCACTAACCGGAACTGCCGTCACCCGAAAAAACAACAGCTGCGGCAGACCTGTTTTAGTGATTCTGGCCGATTCGAGGGCTCTGGGGCCCTACCACTAACCCGGTCCCCTCACCTGGGGTCCTGGCTATACCCGAATGATATCCCCCCCGAGTCATCGCCCCCCTCTTGAACGAACCGATCTGCCCGAGAGGCCAAGGATAACGAGAGGAAAGCGGGGTAATGAGAGGAAACAGAAACAGAAATTTGGCGCTGTTCTCCCTTCTCTATGCCTCCTCGAGAACCCTCGTCGCCACGGAACTTCTTGTCAGTGCGCGCTATGGAACAGGCTCGGAGGCAGATTTTGAGACTAGAGCCAGAAGATTTAGAGGCGTGTCCGAAATGTTTCGGTGCTTACCCAGGTGGCGCCCGCCCCCGATCGATTCAGGAAAATCGATGGGGGTAGGGTTCGGATCTCGCCATGTGTTCGACGAATCCCGTACCCTAACCCCGCTGCCCATCGGGTTCCCTTACCCTGAATCGTGGATCTGCGAGGGTGGGGTTCGGACTTCGCCGCCGCTTGTCGCAGATGTATTAATATGTGCTAAGCGTGCTCTTTTATTTCTGTCGCGAGGTATTAATGGAGGTATTAGGTATTAAAAAATTAATATTAATATGTGAAATGTCTGGAGGGCGTTTCTTATTTCTCGCGACAGCGGCCCTTACCGGCAGCAGCCGCTGCCCCCCCCCCCTCCCAGGTAACGTCACGATTTGTGCTGACGTCCGGTAGACGCTCCCAAGGGGCGACGCGGCGCCAGCGGGAAACGTGACGTTACCGGCTCCTCCCCCGCTCCCCCCCCAGTCGGGGATCTACGGATCCGGATCGATGCAAACCCCAGTCAGTCGGGCGTTGCACAATCTTGCAGGATCCTGCAGGCTCCTGCAGGATCCTGCGAGCACGCCAAGGTCAGTGCACCCCTGGCTCTGCAGGATACTGCAAGATCCGGCGCTCTGGCTGATCCCCGTTCGCATTGGCCCCCGTTTCACTCCCCGTCGCTCGGACGTCCATCCTCTGTGCTTTTTTCGGTTTCGTGCGTGGTTTTTTCCGCAGGATGATCCAGGATGCTCCTTAAGAATCCCCGCCGAGAAAAAAATCACACGTCCGAGCGATACCAAGTCCAAGGCTCCCGACCCAGGAACGCCCGTTGTCGCCAGGGAGCAGAGGAGCGCTTTCCTGGAGGGCCCCGCAGGCTCACAGGAGGTCTCCAGAGGCTCCAGGACGTCTCGAGGGCAGCGGGCGGGGCAGGCAGGCCAGAGGGTGTTGTTGAAGGACGGGAGGAAGCACTGGGGGCATGAGATACGAGAGCACGGGCGCGAGTAATCACGAGTGTGGCGACAAAAATGGCAAAGTCAAGTCGTGCCTTCCTCACGTGACGATTCACGCAGGGAGGCACGGCTAGACATGTTTAAAGAGGGAGCGATGGGTGAGGAGACTCAGGAGGAGGGGGGAGGAGTGAGAAGAAGGCAGAGGAGGAGGAGGAGGAGGAGAAGGAGGAGGAGGAGGGATGCGAGGAGAAGGGTATATCTCGAAGAAGAAAAGGGAAGAGGGGGGAGGAGGGGGAGGAGGGAGGGAGGAGGGAAGAGTCAGGAGGGGATGGGGTTCGAATAGATTGGATCGAAGGGTCGCGCCGCATCGCCGATGCCTCGATGACGTCGGCGAGCGACGTCGGCGGTGCAAAGCCGCCGTCGGCGTGGAGAACGTGGGGCTCCGCATCGAGATGTATGGCCGATGCATCGGCGATGCGGCGTGACCCTCCGTTCCCATCTACTCTCTACTATCTACTCTCTGCTCGGTTCCGACTTGGGATGTCGGAGAAAGTCGGGCGACGCCAATTGACAACCTCACCGATCCCGGCTAGGCCCACCCTACAACCCCCTGGAATAAAAAGTCCGTACCGCAGAGGTCGGGGAATAAGCCTTGATGTTCGGCTTCCGTTAGGCCACGGGGCCCGGTACAATGTTGCAGGGGCCGCCATGGTTAAATTTCCGATCCGTCCTCACCCCCTCTAATCTTATAATCGCCAAATGGGGTGACGACCGGAAATCCGCATTCCGCCTAATATTTCCTCCAAAAAATTTCCGGACGCTTTTCAGGCGACCAGAAATTCTCAGTGGCGACCGGAAATTTGCGATTTCGCTTGGGACTTCCTCGCAAATCAATTTCCGGTCCCAGTTCTGTTGCTTGGAAGTTGCGATTCTGCCTGGTGCTTCTTGCCAGTCATGTTTACCTCTCGGGGAGCGACGATGCAAGGGGGCCTGCAGTGCCGATCCAGACTTTTTAATCCAGGGGGTGGTTGCAAAAAATGTCCTTTCCAAGCCAGCATGCGTCGTTCGAGTAGGCCGTTTCCCCTGTCAGCGCTTGCGGATCATCATTCGTGAAAAAACTGGAGTGGGGGGGGCGATCATGTTGTTGTGAGATCGCGTCAAATGGAATCACGTTTCGGCCGCGTCGCTCTTGCTGGCGTCGCTGCCCCAAAAGAAGGCGCGCTTGCGCGCTTTCGCACCTGTGCGAATTCTTAATTTTGCGTTTTTTTTCCAGTAGACACCCGCCGAGGGCGTGCTTCGGAGCACCCCTGCCCGCGCGCGAGTGGCACGCGCGCTTGCGCAATGAGGTATAGCGGAAACACGTGAAAATCACGTAAATTTTGTACCCAGTCCTAGGGTCCTCGGGGATCACCCAGGAAAGGCCCGCGGCCACGTGGGCCCTCTCTGGAGCGGTATTGTGGTATCTTGGAGGCACGTGGTGCAGCTTGGGCATCGCATTGGTCTTGTGTTGGGACTGTACGTGCTTTGCATGTGCATTGCGCTGTCACTGCACTGGCATCGCATTGGTATGTCATTGGCATTGGAGTCGCGTTGCGTTGGCATTGCGTTGGCATTGCGCCGGACTGGCATTGGCATTCCTCGGCATTGCGCTGGTATTGCGCTGGCATTGCATTGGCATTGCAATGACATGCGTTTGTATTGCGTTGGTTAGCTTGAACTGCATGGGGCTTGAAGTGCGCCCTTGGTCGCGGTGGGCGAGCTCGCCAACCGCGCGTCTTCGCTGTCCGTAGCCGTTTTGGTGCGCGCAGGCACCCCTTTCTTGCCTCTTCCCGCTTCCGCGGGCCGCCTTCAACCCAGATGGCCGGCTACCACTCGTCACCGTTCGACGTAGGCCAAGTGAAGGCCCACGTCGAGCATGGAATGGGGTGCACCCGCATCGCAAAACTTGTGAAGAAGGCCGATGGCAGGACGTGATTTGAAGAGTCGGCCATCAGCAACTGCATTCGGAAATTGAAGGAGAACCCTGGGTGGCGCGGGGAGAGAAGGGCGGGCTCGGGAGGCCCGCAGAAGACGTCGGAGAAACAGGACCGGGAAATCGTCAAATGGGTTCCGGACAACCGCGGCAGCACCAAAAATCTCGGTGAGCCGCCTCAAGAAGTAGTTCCCATTCCTGCGGAAGCTGTCTGACACGCTGGTTGAAGAACTTGGCCTGGCTGCGGCGTCGCAATAAGTCGGTCGTGGTTGGGCAGCACCGCGCCGCGCGCGTGGCACACTGCCAGAGCGTGAAGCGGAAGCACCAGGCCACGCTGGAGAGATGGGCGTACGTGGATGGCACAACGTTCTACCTTGACAAGACTGCAGCTGAACACGAGCACGCGGTTCGCAGGTCTTTGGGGTCCCACGTCTGGAGGAAGTCTGACAACAGCGACGCTCTGTACGAAGACCGCGTGGGGCCTAGCTTCTAGCTGCAACAAAGCTCAGGGCCAGCCAGTGCGGGTCTGGGGGATGCTGGCGGCTGGCGTGCTGCACGTGCATGTCTTGGACGAGGGCGAGGTCATGGATCGAGCTGTTTATGCTGATCTTATAAAGGACAAATTTGACGATTGGAAACTGAACTGCGATTTTCTTGTGTGCGATTATGAGGGGTGCCTGCGGGCGTCAGAGGCTCTGCACGCCTTGAGCCGCTGTGGTTTGAAGCTTGTCGATGAGTACCCGAAAGTATCCCAAGACTTCAACGCCATCGAAAAGGCATGGAAGATCTTGCGTGAGCGATTGGACGAAACGTGCCCGGCTGAGCTTGAACCCAGAGACGCGTTCGTCAAGCGTCTTCGGGCCTCTGTGCGGTGGGCGAACGCGCGCAGGTCGGAACAGCTTTGGTATCTATCCACCAACCAGAAAGAGAGGGCGGCAGACTGCCTGCTCTCAAACCCACCCGGCGCGCGCACTAAATGGTGAGTGCGCTTTGTTCGGCGTGGGCGCCCGCTTCTGAGGTAGACACTTAGCGCGTGCGCGAGTGGTGGTGCTCTCGCGGTGGTCGCCCCCCTGGAATGAAAAATCCGGACCGCAGAGGTCGGGGAATAAGCCTTGATGTTCGGCCCCCGTTAAGCCACGGGGCCCCGGTGCAATGTTGCAGGGGCCGCCGTGGTTAAATTTCCAGTCCGTCCTCG